ACTTCAAACCTTGCCAAAACAAGGGGTGGAGAACCACGGCCTTGGAGTATAATGAAATCATCCAGCCTAATAGATGGACGCGATTCCGATGGCCTGCAACGTGGAAATTTGGTGACTAGAGATATGACATCATGAGTCTTGTATTACGACATTTGGGACCAGAGTAACTGGACTTCTTGGTAAAATTAGCCACACAACACACTTTTAAGCCACATGTCCTTTAACACAAGAACGAAAAAACACATTTTGCTCGCTTCATTGGATGCATTTAGAGGGCGACGTTCAGCTATACTCGCTTACTATGGGCGAAAACTTGCAGAATAGAGTCTGGTGCTAATTTTGCATGCGCAAATTTGCATTTAAATGAGCAGCAATTTTTGTGATTATCACTATGTTATTGTGTTTGACAGGCCTTTAGACTAAAATAATCTGACAGACGTCATTCCCGTTTTTTCCGAAGGATGCCGTAAACATTAGTAATAATGAAAACAAGGTAAAATTATTGTCAATCTCGATAAAAACTAACAAATTCCTTAAAGTCTGGTTTGTGTTCAAATGATCAGAGGCGTGGCTTAGCTGCCGATTAAATACCTTCTGATTCGTTGCAACATTTAACGACTATCTACATTTTGCAAATTTAACATCATGATTTACGATTTGCAGAAAAATTTCTTTAGGAAATTTGTGCAGAAGCTGTTTCAGGTGTAGATACAACGTGCACGTCCACGTAACTTTATAACTCACTTCTCATGCTTGTTTAAAAAACCATTACACGAAACCGGAAATGTTGGAGGAAATATAAGAGAGAGTCGGACGTAAGGTCAGCAAGTGACAACAAAGCGTATATTAAAGTCAGATATGGCTAAATTTTTGGTCTTAGCAGTGTAAGGTTCTACATAAGGCATTATTTCGGCGACCATTTGTTTGATTTTAGGCCGCTAGTGGTTTTGACCAGAGTGGGTCAACAATGCCTTCTGCAAGCTTGCGAAATCCAAACCCCACCTACTTCGATATGCAAAAAAATATGTCTATCGATTAACCGCTTGTAATCCAGCAAACATGGTTTGAGGAAGAATTCATGTTGAATGGGAATGTGGACAATGTGAAATGTTTAGACAAGAGTTTACCTCTGGCAGGTTCAGGATGAAGTTATGCGCGTCCGCTTGCTTGGCAGACTGTTCGACCTCTTCCAGCTCTGCCTCAGGCTTCCCGATCCGAATATTCTCCACGACGGTGCCGGCAAACAAATTGGGTTCCTGTGATACCAGCCCGATCTGGCGACGCAACCATTCGACGCTCAAATGGCGTATATCGACGTCATCTAGAAGGATCTAAATAAAAACGACTTTTGGACCAAACAGGAAAAGCCCTAAATTAGCAATTTAGTGATGAAACCAAAGTCTATAAGAAAAATTCAGTAATCACTTTATCTATGTGACTAACCAGCACACATTCGATCGCCTCCATTTTCTGCAAATTCTTACTACATATGTCGGATAAAGCCCAGAAGCAAAAAAACACCCCGATGTGCGGTGTGTATGGTAAAGACAAATGGTAAGTACCTTAGTCAATGACTAATCTTGAAAAGAGTTCTGAATAAAACAGTTTGTCGTGTTCAAAAGAGATGGAAGTCACTTAAAGACAAATCAATTTACCATATGCTGGATAAAGCAAAACAAATGAGCAATAGGCCAATATCTTTTGTTAGGCGACAAGGCGACTATTTCCAACGGCAACAGATACAGCATTATTGCCCTTGAAGTTCCATTTGAACTTGCCAGACTGTTGGGCATTTACAAGTGCACTAATGATTACACTGCGCAGTGACGATTCGGAGTAAACAATTGCTTCGAGACTGTCCCATGCAACTAGCAAAATAATTCTCCCATGTGCATTCGACCTTGGGTCGCATTTATTCTCTTGACCTTGTGAATGGCTTCCTCAATGTGCAGTCCGCCTTTTACCTATCGAAGCGGTTATTTGTTGAGTTCATTTGTCATCTTCCCCGTCTAATGGGAATGACAGTTTGGTTCGGGGTTGTCTGTCATAGGGATTCCACACCTATAACCCTTAACAACGTAAACAAC